CCTGGTCCGCGCGGCGCGCAGCAGCTGCCGCAATGCGGCGCTGGGCCTCGGCTCGCTCGGCCTCGAGCACGCCGTTCACACGCCCCAGCTCGTACTGGGCCTTCTCCTTAGGGAATCGAACACTTCTCTCTCCTCCAGCGCGAAGACACCTCCAGCGCGTACAGTACGAACCAGGGCGCGAAACGTCGGTGCCCGCGCACCGCAGTTGCCCGCACCGCCGTCGGTGGAGCTCCCTTCGTGGCCACGATGCGCGCGGGGCTGCGGACGGGAGACGCAGACCCGACGAAACAGAATAACTTGGACGAGCCCGCGCTATTGCCCCCGCGGCTCCTGCTCTCCCGTTCTCGACGTTCCGCAGACGCCGCTCTCTTCAGGGCGCTGTTCTCCCGCTGCTGCTGGAGCTCTGCCGCCTGGTCGTGGCGCCTCTTCGCGTTCTCCAGGTGGTGCTCGCAGAGGCGCTTGCAACCTTGCGCGGGGGATTCGAAAGCCACGAGACGCCGGCCGCGAACAAAGCAGACGCCCCAATAATCGCGGAACCAAGAGATTCCAGCAGGTGTTGGAGGCCAAAACGCCCAAGGACCACATCATATTTTGTCACGACTGCGCGTTCACTGGCGCGTTTGCCTGAAACGCCGCCGGCGTCTACTTTAAGCATTCTCTCCCCCGCGCGCCTTTCAGCACCGTCAGCCAAGCCTCCTTGTGGGCCGGTTGCCACGCGGCCCAACCCTCCTGGGAGAGCTCCGCGTGCGGGGGAGCCGCCAACCCCCGCAGGAAAGCGTTCTCCACCTCGAGTTGCTGCTGCTCCGTGGGCGCTGCTCCGACAAACGGAACCGCCCACGCTTTCGGCGGCCACGCTGCCGGAAAGGGCACGGCTGGCGGTGCTGCTGCAGCCGGCGCTGCCGCTGGTGCTCCTGCCGCTGGCGCTGCGGCCTTTGCTGCTGCCGCTTCGGCCGCGCCGCTCGTGGTGCTGCCGGTGCCGGTGGAGCCGGCGCTGCTGCTGCTGCTGCTGCTGCGAACAGCCGGGGAAGCCTTCCGAGGCGCCGCTGGCGCCGCCGCCGGAGGAGGCGCCGCCAGCGCCGCCGCCTTCGACGCCTTTGGAGGCGCCGCCAGCGACATCGCCTTCTTAGGGCGTCCCGGGCCAGTCTGTCAGCGGGACTTGTCGTCGCAACGACACTTGTCGGGCCCCCAGCCCGGGCAAAAAGGACACCGTCTGCGCCCCATTGCCGTGATACCAGCGTGCGCAAGATAAATAATCAGAGCCTCAATGCACCTACGAATGAGAAAGAACCCTGCTTCCCGAACGCCTGATACCTTCCGCCTCCTGCCGCCCCATCCTTACTCATCGTGCCTTTCCCTAGTCCCTCATACCCTCTCCTACTCCTCTTACCTCTTCCTGCCTCCTGGGCTCTCGCCCTCTCGTTCATCCTCGCTTGCCGAGGCGACCGAAACACCGCACATGAGCAAATCCATCCTCTCTCCTCCTTCCCTCCTCCTTCGAACTCTTCTCCTCCCCCCTTCCCTGTGGTTACCCTCCGTGCGGTGCAGCACAAGCGTCGTTGCTCTGAGTGCGCAGGAGGTCCACAGAGACCCCTGCTCGGATAAGAACTCGCCGGAGCGACTCCCATGGGAGGGAATTCCACTGGGAACTCGAAGAGACTAAAAGGACTGACAGAAACTAAAAGGGACTAGAAGGAACTAAAAGGGACTCAAAGGGACTGAAGAGCTTAAAGGCTGCAATCGTACAGAAGGGACGGAAAGGACTGAAAGGGACTAAGAGGGTCTCAAGGGACTAAAAGGGACTAAAAGGGACTCAAAGGGACTGAAGAGCTTAAAGGCTGCAATCGTACAGAAGGGACGGAAAGGACTGAAAGGGACTAAAAAAGTCTCAAGGGACTAAAGGGACTAAAAGGAACTAAAGGGACTAAAAGGACCTAAAAGGGACTAAAAGGGACTAAAGGGACTAAAAGGGACTAAAAGGGACTCAAAGGGACTAGAAGAGACTAAGAGAGACCAAAAGGGAGCACATGGCACGAAAGAGACTGAAAGCAGCTAAGAGGCGACAGTCGTACTGAAGAGACGGAGGGGAACTGAAAGGGACTAAAGGGACGAAGAGAGACCAAAGGGACTGATAGAACCAAAGGGAACTAAAAGAGAGTAAAAACAAAAGTACAAGAGACAAAAAGACACCGGAGGGCGTCAAAGGAGCTAAAACGCTACCATTATACTGAACGGACGGAAAGGGACTGAAAAAGACGAAAAGCGACAAAAAGGGACTAAATGGACAACAAAATACTAAAAGGGACTAAAAGGGACAAACAGGCACTACAGGACTTGAAAGGAGCTTAAAGGCTACAATCCTACTGAAGGGACGGAAAGGGACTCAAAGGTACGAAAAGAGACTAAAGGGATAACAAGAAACTCAAAGGGACTAAGAGGGACCAAAAGGGATTACATGGTACGAAAGAGACTGAAAGGAGCTAAAAGGCGACAATCGTACTGAAGAGACGGAAGGAGACTGAAAGGGACTACAAGGGACTAAGAAAGACTAAAGGGACGAAGCGAACCAAAAGGAATTAAAAGGGACTAACAAGAAAGTAAAAGGGACAAAAAGACACCGAAGGCCTCAAAGGAGCCAAAAGGCTACCATTATACTGAAGGGACGGTAAGGGATAGACAGGGACTAGAAGCGACTAAAAGGGACTGAACGAACTACAAAAGACTACAAGGAACGAAAAGGGACTACAAGGGAGTAAGAGGCACTACAGGGATGGAAATGAGCTTGAAGGCTACAACCCTTCTGAAAAGACAGAAGGAAACTGAACGGCACTAAAAGGGACTAAAGGGACTAAAAGGGAGTCAATAAAACTACAAGCGAAGAAGAGGAACCAAAAGGGACTACAAGGCACGAAAGAAACTGAAAGGCTACAATCATACTGAAGGAGCGGAAAGGGATTCAAAGGGACTACAAGGAACTAAAAGGGACTACAGGGACTAAAAGAGACTCAGAGGGACTATAAGAAACTGAAAGGAAGTGAACCGAAGACAACGAACTCGAAGGCTGCACAAGGGCGAAAGAGACATACGAGAGACTGGAGCAACCTAAAACTATGAAGAAGGGACTGAGCCAACAAAAAAAGACTAAGGGGAATCAGACCGACGGAAGACGGAAAGGGATAACAGGGCGGCGGCGGCAGCGACGACGACGACGTCCACGCTGACGGCGACGACGACGACGACCGCAGCAGCGCCGAAGCCGAGGATGGCAGCGGCGGCGGAGCCGGCTACGCCGACGCCGACGACGACGACGACGACGCCGCCGACGACGACGACGACGACGACGACGAACGGCGTCGGCGACAGCGATGGCGACGACGACTTCGGCCGAAATCCGCTCGAAATAAATTCCCGGATCTCTCTCGGGGTCCCTCCCGACGCAGTTGCGTACCCCAGATCGATCTGCAGAAACCCCGAGACCCGAAAACCGCCCCCGGAGGCCGAAAACGCGGAAAATCTCCCCGATCCCTGAAGATCGAGAATCGAAGTTCGACAGATGGCCACGTCCTCGATCGCAGTTTTTCAACCCGGCTCGACTTCCAGAGGCCCCGGGAACCGAAGGCGGCCCCCTGGGGCCGAACCCGCCGAGAAACCTCCCCGAGCCCCGCAATTCGAAAATCAAAGTTTTTCAATACGGGGTCCCCGGTGGTCTCCCGAGGTCCCGAAAACTTCCCCAGGTTTTCCGTCCTGAGTCACATTCTAATGGTCCTAGGGCCCGTTGAAGGCTTACGAAGGCCGACAATTGCGAAAACCGATGTACTAGACAAATCCGCCGACCCCTTGGGTCTCATCGGCGTGTCAAATGCTCCCCCTCTCCCCAAACCCCTCCCTGGGGGCCTCGTCTGGTCGATCAGGAGGGGAAGCGCCCGGCCAGCCGGCGTACACGCGCCATGAGACAACACAGAGCTCCACGACGAGCCAAAAAGGCTCCAAGAGGCTCCCGAGCCGGTCCAAGAAGCCCCGAATCGCCGAAACATCGTTTCAAGACGCCCAGGATGGCCTCCAGACGGCCAAAGATGCTTCCAAGACGTGACCCTACGAATACGGCGGCGGTGCGCGGCTCGGGCGTACGAGTGGGGCTGCGTACGGCTACTAGTACGACTGCGACGTGCACGGCCGAGCGTACGAGTACGGCTACGTACCGGTACGAGTACGACTGGAGGGGGCGTACGAGTTCGGCGACGTGGGCCTACTAGTACGGCAGCAGAATGCAAGGACGGCCGTACTAGTACAGCTACGTACGCCTACTAATACGGCGGCGGTGTGCCAGGTCGGGCGTACGAGTACGGCTACGTACGGCTACGAGGACGACTGCGACGTGCCCGGCCGAGCGTACGAGTAGGGCCACGTACGCGTACTAGTACGACCGGAGCGGGCGTACTAGTACGGCTACGTAGCCCTACTAGTACGCCTGCGGCGTGCACGGCCGAGCGTACGAGTACGGCTACGTACGGCTACTAGTACGCCTGTGGCGTGCACGGCCGAGCGTACTAGTACGGCTACGTAGGCCTACTAGTACGCCTGCGGCGTGCACGGCCGAGCGTACGAGTACGGCTACGTACGGCTACTAGTACGCCTGCGGCATGCACGGCCGAGCGTACGAGTACGGCTACGTACGGGTACTAGTACGCCTGCGGCGTGCACGGCCGAGCGTACGAGTACGGCTACGTACGGGTACTAGTACGCCTGCGGCATGCACGGCCGAGCGTACGAATACGGCTACGTACGGCTACTAGTACGCCTGCGGCGTGCACGGCCGAGCGTACGAGTACGGCTACGTACGGCTACTAGTACGCCTGCGGCATGCACGGCCGAGCGTACGAGTACGGCTACGCACGGCTACTAGTACGCCCCGCGGTCGTACTAGTAGGACGAAGTAGGCCTACTAGTACGACGACCGGGTAAAGCAAGCCTATTCTGGAAGTGGGGGGGAGGGGAGGAGGGAGGCGTGATCCAAACGGAAACCCAGAGCAGGAGGGCGGGGAACAATACTGCCAGCCTTGGTGTTTCACCCTTTTGTTTCCTCTTGCTCTTCGAGCCGGCAGTGCACGCGGGCTCGGAAGAGCAACCATTTTCTGTCAGGTGTTGTGCTCGTTTGCCCACGAGGAGGCCGACCTTGCCTGGGTCAGGGCCCAAGGCGAGGCTTCGACGCGTCAGTCCGGCCCCCTCGAAGGGAACTCGGATTCAGACGCGTCCGATGTTTGTTCGGCCCCGTTCGATGGGTCGAGGCCGCCTCACTTGAAGCTCCTCCTCCTCCTCCCTCCACACTTGTTGCCGATTCTCCGTATCCGATGGAAATGGGGTGGCAAGCAGGAGCGCTAGGGACATGAGTGAGGCCCGCAGTGTGAGCTTCTCTTTTTGCGTGTCTGTAATTTTTTGTGCTCGTGAATCGTGTGCCGCTGCAACAGGAGTATTGTGAGTTTAAGTCTGCCCGTGGAAGAGAAACGTCGGAGATTTGTTGTTAGCATTTAGCTGACCATTGCACGGCTGGCCGCTGCATGAATTTTTTGGTGTGACCTCGTCCCAGTTTCGAGGAAGTCGCTGCTTCTCTTAGTTTTGGTGCAATAAACGGGGATCCCTCCTGCGGTCGCTTCGTCCCTCCTCCCTCCTCTCGCCCTTCCCGCTCCTCCTGGGCCGTGGGCCTCTCCTGCCCCCCTCGGGGGCCATCCCTGGCTGAGGGCTGTGTGAAATGCTCCCTCCTGAGCGTCCGCGTGCGGACGCCTAGGGGCGCGCCTTCGCCTCCTTTGGCCAGGTATGGCGCCTGCTCGCCCTTGGTCTCCCGCGTCGTTGCTGCTTGCTGGTGGATCCCGCGTGCACCTGTCGGCACGGGCCGCACACGGGCTACCGAAACTCGGGCCATGCCGTTCGTGTCCCACGTGTCGTGTGGTGCCGAGCTTACAGCAATGAGGGGGTAACCCCACCACACTCCGTAGTTCGAGCTGACTTTGGACTCATATGGAGCGCCGCCGCCGCCGCCTCCCTCCACCTCCCCATCCCCCCCCACCTCACCGTTCCGGCGCACCCCTCACACTAGGGAGCTCCACTTGAGGCCCCAGTGGTTGCGCCCGCATGCCACCACCACCCCACTTTGGCGCACACCCTTCGCGCCCCGCAGGGAGCTCCACCTAAGGCTCCAGTCGTTACGCCCGCATGCGGCCACCACCCCATTTTGGCGCACCCCTCAAACGTTTCGTGGCCCGTAGGGAGCTCCACCTGAGGACTCAGTTGTTGCACCGCCCGCATGCCGCCACCACCCCACTTTGGCGCACCCCTCACACGTCTCGTGGCCCCATAGGGAGCTCCACCTAGGCCCCAGTGGTTGCACCGCCAGCATGCCGCCACCACCCCACTTTGGCGCACCCCTCACACGTTTCGTGGCCCTTAGGGAGCTCCACCTAAGGCCCCAGTGGTTGCGCCCGCACGCCTCCCCCGGATTTTGGCGCACCCCTCACACGTTTCGTGGCCCCATACGGAGTTCCGTGGTGGAGGGGGCAATCCTGGAGAACAACCGCCAAGTGCATTCGCAACAGGCAGGCAGCCATATCGACCAACTGGATCCCGCAAATCTGTGCGTACGTAAGCTGGGCACGAGCAGCAAATTCACCAGCATGCTCGTCAGCTTGCTTGTTGGCGACGTAATGTGCTAAGGACAAGGCTCTCTCAAGAGCTTCCTGCTGAGTTATGCCACCTCTTTGATTGACTTCTTCAGCTCAATGCAGAAGTCGCATGCGTGGCCGTGCCCATTTCGGCGCACCACTCGCACGTTTCGTGGCCCCATCGGGAGCTCCGCCGAAGGTCCCAGCGGCGGGACTCGCATGCGTGACAGCGCTTGTCTTGGCACACCGACTGCGTGCCCTGCTGTTCTCCCCAAGGCCGGGTCGACAGCCGCTCAGATCAGCTGTGGATGGTTACAGCTGTAGCCCGTTGCGGCTGACCCCTGCGACCCCAGCATTGTGGACGACGATCAACGAAGAGGAAACATGTTGCCAAACACTTTCCAGATGTCTGCAACATTTTACATCATTCTTTGAACATGCACAAACCATGCTTCAAACATTTTTCGGACATGCTTCGAGCATTTTAAATACATATTCAATTCAATGATCGGATTGTTAGTCTGTCCATTGTCATGGCATCCACAACCCCAGCAGCAATGTCGTTCCGTTCTTCACACGCGCGCCTCAGTCTTTGTACGAGCCCCATCCCATAGTTTCCACCTGCCCTGCGGCGCTCGCAGCTGCATATGGCTGGGTCGTTCGCCATGCTAATGCACTGATTACAGTTTAGCGTCGTCAGACCGTATGGGCCACCATACTGTGGAGGCCCCTGTCAAGAAACACTCTGCTTGCCTCCAGGGTGCCTCGGGTGTCTTTGGTTTCGATGGTTTTGCGATGGGGAGCGCGGCGCCAACAATCAATGGGAGTCCTGGGGCCTCAGGGTTGGGTTTCTTGTGCAAGGTTTCTTGCAGACGGGCCTCCGCTATACGAGAGTCCGTGCGGGAGACCGTGCGGGAGGCCACACGGGGAGAGCAGGCGGGAGGCCGTGCGGGATGGACGTTTTCCGGCAGACCACACGCGAGACCATGCGGGAGATTATGCGCGAGGCCACGCGTGATGGCATGCGGGAGATCACACGGGATACCATATGGGAGACCAGTCGGGAGGCCATGCCAGAGACCATACATGCGGGAGACCATGCGGAAGAGTGTACCGATGCGACCACCCTGCGGGTGATAAGGAGGTTGGGGGGGGAGGGGGAGGCGGTCGATTTGCGATGGCCCTGGGTTTTTTGGTGGTTTCTTCAACTTTCCTGCTGTCGCGCGCATCCACCCATCTATCTATCCTCACATATCGAATTAACTACTCAGGACACCCATCTATCTATCTGTCTACCTGTGTATATATGTATACCTATTTGTCTAGCTATGTATGTGTATATATATATATATGTACATGCGTGTATATATATATATATGTATTTATTGATCGATGTACATGTTTGGAGATACACATATGTATACATATATTTTCATATTTATATATTCATATACCGATCTGCCTATTCATCAATCGAATTATGTTTACCTAACAGCGAAGACTGATAGGTTTCTAGTAGACTTAAAAAAGAGCAGCAGATGACTCCACAGGGGGGTCTGGGCGGGTGCCGGACAGGGTGCCGCAGAACTCGTTTTAAGCCAACAGTCACACACTTCGTGCTCTTCGACCTCCCAGAACTCCATTCCCTGGCCACATTCTCAATGCCCGGAGCCAACTGTAGGCCACTTCGTGCTCTTCGATTTCCCAGAATTCCATTCCCGGGCCACATTTTGAATGCCCGGAGCCAACTGTAGGCCACTTCGTGGTCTTCGAGTCCCCAGAACTCCATTCCCGGGCCACATTTTGAATGCCCGGAGCCCACTGTAGGCCACTTCGTGCTCTTCGATTCCCAGAACTCCATTCCCGGGCCAATGCCCGGAGCCAACTGTAGGCCACTTCGTGCTCTTCGATTCCCCAGAACTCCATTCCCGGGCCACATTTTGGATGCCTGGAGCCAACTGTAGGCCACTTCGTGCTCTTCAAGTTCCCAGAACTCCATTCCTGGGCATGATTTTGAATGCCCGGAGCCAACTGTAGGCCACTTCGTGTTCTTCTAGTTTCCAGAACTCCATTCCTGGGCGACATTTTGAATGCTGAGGCAGGCTGATGCTGCGGCCGAGGCAGGCTGAGGCTGAGGCAGGCTGAGGCTGAGGCCTGAGGCTGAAGGCTGAGACGGAGGCTGAGGCTGAAGCAGACTGAGGCTGAGGCTGAAGGCAGGCTGAGGCTGAGGCTGAAGGCAGGCTGAGGCTGAGGCTGAGGCTGAGCTGAGGCTGAGGCAGGCTGAGGCTGAGGCTGTGACTGCGACTGCCGTTGCCGCTGCGACTGTCATCGCGAATGCGACTACGACTGCGAGAACAGCAGAATTCTACAACTGGATTTTCATCTGAATCTTAAGGGGAATGCTTTCATATATGCTTCTACACATCGCTGTTAGGTTGCTTTGCCGGGATAATCTATCCACATAGGTACTTGTTTTGTTTGTTACCTAACAGCTTGTTCTGATAGGTTTCTAGTGGTCTCAAAAGAAAGCAGCAGATGACTCCACAAGGGGGTCTGGGCGGGTGCCGGACAGGGTGCCGCAGAAGTCGTTTTAAGCAAACAGTCACACACTTCGTGCTCTTCGACCTCCCAGAACTCCATTCCCGGGCCACATTCTGAATGCCCGGAGCCAACTGTAGGCCACTTCGTGCTCTTCGAGTTCCCAGAACTCCATTCCCGGGCCACATTTTGGATGCCCGGAGCCAACTGTAGGCCACTTCGTGGTCTTCGAGTTCCCAGAACTCCATTCCCGGGCCACATTTTGGATGCCCGGAGCCAACTGTAGGCCACTTCGTGTTCTTCAAGTTCCCAGAACTCCATTCCTGGGCATGATTTGAATGCCCGGAGCCAACTGTAGGCCACTTCGTGTTCTTCTAGTTCCCAGAACTCCATTCCTGGGCCACATTTTGAATGCTGAGGCAGGCTGAGGCTGAGGCAGGCAGGCTGAGGCTGAGGCCGAGGCTGAAGGCAGACTGAGGCTGAGGCTGAAGCAGACTGAGGCTGAGGCTGAGGCAGGCTGAGGCTGAGGCTGAGGCAGGCTGATGCTGAGGCAGGCTGAGGCTGAGGCTGAGGCTGATGCAGGCTGAGGCTGAGGCAGGCTGAGGCTGAGGCCGAGGCTGAAGGCAGACTGAGGCTGAGGCTGAAGCAGGCTGAGGCTGAGGCTGAGGCAGGCTGAGGCTGAGGCAGGCTGAGGCTGAGGCTGAGGCAGGCTGAGGCTGAGGCTGTGACTGCGACTGCCGTTGCCGCTGCGACTGTCATCGCGAATGCGACTACGACTGCGAGAACAGCAGAATTCTACAACTGGATTTTCATCTGAATCTGAAGGGGAATGCTTTCAGATATGCTTCTACATATCGCTGTTAGGTTGCTTTGCCGGGATAATTTTGTCACCTAACAGCGAAGACTGATAGGTTTCGAGTGGGGTCAAAAGAGAGCAGCAGATGACTCCACAGGGGGGTCTGGGCGGGTGCCGGACAGGGTGCCGCAGAATTCATTTTAAGCCAACAGTCACACACTTCGTGCTCTTCGACTTCCCAGAACTCCACTCCCGGGCCACATTCTGAATGCCCGGAGCCAACTGTAGGCCACTTCGTGCTCTTCGATTTCCCAGAACTCCATTCCCGGGCCACATTTTGAATGCCCGGAGCCAACTGTAGGCCACTTCGTGCTCTTCGATTCCCCAGAACTCCATTCCCGGGCCACATTTTGAATACCCGGAGCCAACTGTAGGCCACTTCGTGCTCTTCGAGTTCCCAGAACTCCATTCCCGGGCCACATTTTGGATGCCCGGAGCCACCTGTAGGCCACTTCGGGGTCTTCGAGCTCCCAGAACTCCATTCCCGGGCCAGATTTCCCGTAGCCAACTGTAGGCAACTTCGTGCTCTTCGACTTCCCAGAACTCCCATTCCTGGACCACACTTTCAGCAGGGGCAAGAGCACGACGAGGAGGAGGACGAGCAAGACCAGGAGGACGAGGACGAGCAGGAGCAGGACGAGGAGCAGGAGGAGCAGGAGAAGAAGGACGAGCAGGAGGAGGAGGAGGACGAGCAGGAGGAGGAGGACGACCAGGAGGAGGACGACCAGGAAGAGGAGGAGGAGGAGGAGGAGGGGAGGGGGAGGACTACCAGGAGGAGGAGGAGGAGGAGGAGGAGGAGGAGGAGGAGGAGGAGGAGGAGGAGGAAGAGGAGGAGGAGGACGAGGAGGAGGAGGAGGAGTAGAGGAGGAGGATGAGAGGATGAGGAGGAGGGGAGGGGGGGGAGAGCCACCAGGAGGAGGAGAACGAGGACCACCAGGAGGAGAGGAGGAGGAGGAGGAGGAGGAGGAGGAGGAGAGAGAACACCAGGAGGAGGAGGACGAGCAAGACGAGGAGGACGAGAACGAGGGCGACCAGGAAGAGGAGGAGGAGGAGGAGGAGGGGGAGGGGAGGACTACCAGGAGGAGGAGAGGAGGAGGAGGAGGAAGAGAGGGGAGGACGAGGAGGAGGAGGAGGAGGACGAGGAGGAGGAGGGGGGGGGAGAGCACCAGGAGGAGGAGAACGAGGACCACCAGGAGGAGGAGGAGGAGGAGGAGGAGGAGGAGGAGGAGGAGGAGGAGAGAGCACCAGGAGGAGGAGGACGAGCAAGACGAGGAGGACGAGAACGAGGACGAGCAGGAGGAAGAGGAGGAGGAGGAGGAGGAGGAGGAGGAGGAGGAGGAGGAGGAGGAGGAGGAGAAAAATGAGGAGGAGGAGGAGGAGGAGGAGGAGGAGGAGCAGGAGGAGAGGAGCGAGCAGGAGAGCACGAGGACGAGCAGGAGGAGGAGGAGGAGGACGAGCAGGAGGGGAGGGCGGCCGGCTGCCCCAGCCGGCTCCTACATGGCTGTTAGGTTGCTTTGCCGGGATAATTTTTTTTACCTAACAGCGAAGACTGATAGGTTTCTAGTTGACAAAAGAGAGCAGCAGATGACTCCACAGGGGGGTCTGGGCGGGTGCCGGACAGGGTGCCGCAGAAGTCGTTTTAAGCCAACAGTCACACACTTCGTGCTCTTCGACCTCCCAGAACTCCATTCCCGGGCCACATTCTGAATGCCCGGAGCCAACTGTAGGCCACTTCGTGCTCTTCGACTTCCCAGAACTCCATTCCCGGGCCACATTTTGAATGCCCGGAGCCAACTGTAGGCCACTTCGTGGTCTTCGAGTCCCCAGAACTCCATTCCCGGGCCACATTTTGAATGCCCGGAGCCAACTGTAGGCCACTTCGTGCTCTTCGAGTTCCCAGAACTCCATTCCCGGGCCACATTTTGAATGCCCGGAGCCAACTGTAGGCCACTTCGTGCTCTTCGATTCCCAGAACTCCATTCCCGGGCCACATTTTGAATGCCCGGAGCCAACTGTAGGCCACTTCGTGCTCTTCGAGTTCCCAGAACTCCATTCCTGGGCATGATTTTGAATGCCCGGAGCCAACTGTAGGCCACTTCGTGGTGAGAGTTGTAGGCCACTTCGTGCTGTTCTCCATTCCTGGGCATGATTTTGAATGCCCGGAGCCAACTGTAGGCCACTTCGTGTTCTTCTAGTTCCCAGAACTCCACTCCTGGGCCGCATTTTGAATGCTGAGGCAGGCTGATGCTGCGGCCGAGGCAGGCTGAGGCTGAGGCAGGCTGAGGCTGAGGCCGAGGCTGAAGGCAGACTGAGGCTGAGGCTGAAGCAAACTGAGGCTGAGGCTGAGGCAGGCTGAGGCTGAGGCTGAGGCAGGCTGATGCTGAGGCAGGCTGAGGCTGAGGCTGAGGCTGATGCAGGCTGAGGCTGAGGCAGGCTGAGGCTGAGGCCGAGGCTGAAGGCAGACTGAGGCTGAGGCTGAAGCAGGCTGAGGCTGAGGCTGAGGCAGGCTGAGGCTGAGGCAGGCTGAGGCTGAGGCTGAGGCAGGCTGAGGCTGAGGCTGTGACTGCGACTGCCGTTGCCGCTGCGACTGTCATCGCGAATGCGACTACGACTGCGAGAACAGCAGAATTCTACAACTGGATTTTCGTCTGAATCTTAAGGGGAATGCTTTCAGATATGCTTCTACACATCGCTGTTAGGTTGCTTTGCCGGGATAATTTTTACCTAACAGCTTGTTCTGATAGGTTTCTAGTGGGTCAAAAGAGAGCAGCAGATGACTCCACAGGGGGGTCTGGGCGGGTGCCGGACAGGGTGCCGCAGAAGTCGTTTTAAGCCAACAGTCACACACTTCGTGCTCTTCGACCTCCCAGAACTCCATCCCGGGCCACATTCTGAATGCCCGGAGCCAACTGTAGGCCACTTCGTGCTCTTCGACTTCCCAGAACTCCATTCCCGGGCCACATTTTGAATGCCCGGAGCCAACTGTAGGCCACTTCGTGGTCTTCGAGTCCCCAGAACTCCATTCCGGGCCACATTTTGAATGCCCGGAGCCAACTGTAGGCCACTTCGTGCTCTTCGAGTTCCCAGAACTCCATTCCCGGGCCAGATTTTGGATGCCCGGAGCCAACTGTAGGCCACTTCGTGGTCTTCGAGTTCCCAGAACTCATTCCCGGGCCAGATTTTGGATGCCCGGAGCCAACTGTAGGCCACTTCGTGGTCTTCGAGTTCCCAGAATTCCATTCTTGGGCATGATTTTGAATGCCCGGAGCCAACTGTAGGCCACTTCGTGTTCTTCGAGTTCCCAGAACTCCATTCCCGGGCCACATTTTGAATGCTGAGGCAGGCTGAGGCTGAGGCTGAGGCAGGCTGATGCTGAGGCAGGCTGAGGCTGAGGCTGAGGCTGATGCAGGCTGAGGCTGAGGCAGCCTGAGGCTGAGGCCGAGGCTGAAGGCAGACTGAGGCTGAGGCTGAAGCAGGCTGAGGCTGAGGCTGAGGCAGGCTGAGGCTGAGGCAGGCTGAGGCTGAGGCTGAGGCAGGCTGAGGCTGAGGCTGTGTCTGTGACTGCCGTCGCCACTGCGACTGTCATCGCGAATGCGACTACGACTGCGAGAACAGCAGACTTCTACAACTGGATTCTCATCTGAATCTTAAGGGGAATGCTTCCAGATATGCTCCTACACATCGCTGTTAGGTTGCTTTGCCGGGATAATTCAATCTCTATCTATCTATGTATATATATATATATATATATATATATATATATATATATATATTTCTCTATTTTTATGTCTCTCGATCACTCTCTATGTTTATGTGTGTATATATGTATATATCAGTGTATCTAGTTGTCTATCCATTTATTTAGCTATCTATCAGTGCAGGAATCCAGAGACCCCCAGCAGGTTTACTGTAAAAGAGAGTCTCTACGTTGACGTTCGGGCTCAACTCATCAAGGCAAGCATCCGAAGAAAATATCTCGCCATGGTAGCGGAGCCGTGGTCCCGACCCTCTCAGTCTACGGGGTCGGGCGCCGCGGCTCCCGATCCCGCCGGCGGCGCGGAGAGCCCCAGCAGCCTGGGGCGGCCTGCCGGCGCGGGAGCCGCAGCGGGGCCGGCCGGGCCCAGCGGAGGCGGCGGCGACGAGTGGGAGCTCCTCGAGGTCCACCAGGGCTGGAGGAGAGTGGCGCGGTCGCTGCGCAAGCTGTCCAGGCTCAGTAGGACCTGGGCGGCGCTGGGCCAGCACCTGAAGGATTTCACGAAGCTGCGCGCGAACCGCCGCTGAGATGGCGGAGGAGCGCATGCACGCTCTAGAGCAGCAGATGCGGGCGATGGCTCAGGAGCTACAGAACCGCCAGCAGAGGGAGAACGATCTCACGGCCGAGGTGCAGCGGCTCGGCCGTGCGGCCGAGGCTAGACCACGGGTGGAAGGGCCTGTGCTGCAGCCTCGAGCTGAATCGCTCGTGGACACTCGCACGCTGGGCAGGCCAGATGTGTTCACGGGCGAGGAACACAAGTGGAACGATTGGAAGGTGATCTTCAAGGCGTACTGTGGCGTTGTGAACGCTGACTTGCTGGCAGGGATGCGACTGGCAGAGAGTGCTGACGAGGCCTCAGTCCAGATCGACGACTTCATCGAGGAGGATATGAGGCAGGCCTCGCAGCAGCTGTGTTGCATCTTGCTCATCCTCTGCCGGCAGCATCCTCTGACGACGATCGTGAACGCTGGCGAGAACGAGGGCTTCCAGGCTTGGCGCAGGCTGGTCGAGTACTATGAACCGAATGCGAGGTCCCGCATCGCGGGGCAGCTGCTGAATCTCCTGAACTTCACGTTCGCGGGCGATGTCGAGGACCAGCTGGCGCTGTTCGAGCGAGAGCTCCTCAGGTACGAGCAGAGGAGCGGCGAGGCCATCGCGGCCTCTATGAGGATCGGCATCGTCCTTCGGCAGCTCGAGGAAGACCCTCTACGCCAGCACCTCTTGCTCAATGCGACCAGGCTGGTGGGGTGGCAGGACTTCCGATGTGAGGTTACCGGCGTCCGCCGTGCCCAGAGCGCCATCGCCCCGGTGCCCGTGCCCATGGATCTGAGTGCGTTCACCAAGGGTGACGGCAAGGGCAAGTCCAGGGGCGACGGCAAAGGCAAGGGCAAGTCCAGTGGCAAGGGCAAGAGCAAGGGCGACAGCAAGGGCAAGTCCAAGTCCGACGGCAAGGGCAAGACCGGCAGCAAGTCGCATGGCCAGCAGCTTGGGCCCCTCTGCTGGGGCTGCGGCGGTCGCGGCCACACCCAGCGCGAATGCCCGAGCAAGCGCAGGGGGGCGTTGGCGAGCATGGAGCAGACGCTGGCTCGCATCAACGCCTCCCAGTCGACGAGTGCGACTGCGCCGTCGGCGGCCAGCTCTATCTCGACGGCTGCGACTACGAGGCTGAGTCCGGCGACGGCGATGTCCGGCGCGAGCTCTCGGCAGGTCGTAGCACTCTACCTGGGCGACGCGGACGAGCAGGTCCGTTCGCGAACCTCCACTCCCTCATCATCCACGACCCGCGGCTGGACAAGGCGGACGTGGTCGACTCTGCGATCGGCGCGGCCCTGGACCTGAACATGACCCGCGGCAACTCGGATGGGGAGGAGGTCGAGCTCAACGGCATCTTGCGTGTGGGCATCGACTCGTGTGCGGCGGCGTCGTTGCTGCCGCGTGGCTCGTGTGCGGACTACCTGGTGCACGAGGGTGGCCGGGCGATCTAGTACAAGACCGCCTCTGGCCACTGCGTGAACGATGAGGGCGAGAGGCTCCTCGTGGGGGCGATGCCTGGGGCATCCCAGGTACGCGCTGCCAAATTCAGGGTGGCGGACGTCAGCAAGCCGTTGCTGAGCGCCACGGAGATGGTCGACTCGGGCCATCGGCTCGTCTTCGACTTGGAGGGCGGGCAGGACATTAGCTACGCGTATCACAAGACCAGCGGAGACGTCGTCAAGTTCTGCCGCAGGAGCAAGGTCTACGAGATGGACATGCACGTTGACCCGTACGTGCCGGAGGTCTGCCCGGTCGAGGTTGCGGGCCACGCGCCTCCCGAGGGCGCGGCCGGCCAGCCAGGCGCGGCTCGCGAGGAGGTCGCGGAGGGCCCGCCGGCGCGGCCGGCGAGGGAGCCAGCAGCGCCGACGGCGGCCGAGCGAGCCGCGCATGAGGTGCTGCACGAGCCCTACAGGGCACGGTGCCGGGAGTGTGTCTCCAGCAGGGGCCTGTCCACAGGCCGTCAGACGAAGGACCGCCAGGAGTCGGCGCTCGCGGCGGTTGGCGTCGACTACGGCTACCTCGGTGAACGAGAGGACGCCACGCCGCTGCTGGTCGGGAAGGATTCGAAGCAGCGTTGGTTCCACGCGTCGGTGGTTCCATCCAAGGGGGCGCAGCGTCCCGGGCCGGCGAAGTCATGGTCCAGGAGGCTGGCATCGGCTGGCCACAAGCGCTTCGTCTTCCGCTCGGACGGCGAGGCGCCACTCGTCGCCCTGAAGACCCGCATCGGGGCCAAGCTCAAGGAGGAGCACGGCGTCGAGACGGCGCCCGAGGAGAGCGCGGTCGGCGACTCTCAGGGCAACGGCCTTGCCGAGCACGCGGTGCGCGAGGTCAAGGCCAAGGTTAGGGCGGCGCGGGCGCAGGTGGGCGACCTCGGCGTGAGCATTGGCATCGAGCACCGGGTGACCCCGTGGATGGTCGAGTTCGCGGCCATGTCCATCAACCTGGGTAGGCGGGGCGCGGGCGGCCGCGCGTCTTGGGAGCTTCGGCGCGGCCGCCCTTTCAACAAGGACCTGGCTTGCTTCTCGGAGAAGGTCCTGTACCTCCCAGGGGGCAAGCGCAAGGCCGGGATCGAGGACAAGTTCCTCGCTGGGCTCTACCTGGGGCCCACACTTCGGACGGACGAGGTCTACATTGGCACGGAGTTGGGCGTGCTACGGGCCAGGACCTCCAAGCGGTTGACGGTCGAGCATCGGGCTGACAAGGGCCTGCTGAACAGCCTCGCGGGGAAGCCGTGGGCGCTGGTGCCGACGGACATGGCGGTGAACGAAGTACCGGTGGCCATCGAGATCCGAGCGCCGGTGCCGGCGCCGGTCGCGCCTGTGGGCGGACCTCTGGCGCCCATCCCCGAGGCTGAGGACCTCCCGCCCCGGGCCACCCGAGTCGGGCGGCCACCGGCAGGGCCGCGGGCCATCTACATCAGGAAGGGCGTTGAGATCGCGAAGTACTCAGAGCGTGAATTACCTCCCCCGCTTTCGCTTCCAGGCAAAACCAAGCCATACCACGCGCCTCCTCGTCAAGCGGCCTGACCAGTACAGGCTGCAATTTGGCATCGTTTGGTATCTCTTGGAAGCGAGGGTGGTCAAAAGCGAGGTAGGTTTGTTTTCCTCCTAAGTACGGGATCTCCCCAGGCTGCCACGGCTGCACCGCGATCCTCAACGGCGCCAGGGCGCAGGCCCACTCAGCAGAGCGCCGCGCTCGGCTCGAGCAGGCGATGCAGGACGACGAGGAGGCGAAGCAGAGGCTCGAGGATGCCCGTGAGCGGAAGCGGCATCGCACTGACGTCGCCGGGCCCGTCTACCAAGAGGGCGGCTCGTCTGGCAGTGGCGGTCCAGCCCCAGCTCAGCAGGTGCCGCCAGCACCTGAGGCTGCGGCGGCGGCTGACGTGGCGATGGCTCCGGCACCGCGCGACCCAGGCGACGACAACATGCAGGAGGAGATCGGCGCCCTCCTGCTCTCCCTCGGCTACAGCGGGCGCATGGCTGACGTGATGGAGGTCTTCTGCCCGAATAGGCTTGTGGGCTTTGCCCCACTCTTCGGTCTGGTCCACGGCGGCTCGTTCGACTTGAGGGTTGGCTGGGACCTGACCGACCGCCAGCAGCAGCGACAGTGCCGGTAGCTGATCGAGCACTACGAGGTGTACTTCATCTTGGGCAGTCCTCGTTGCGCGCCGTTCTCCATGCTGAAGTACCTGAACGAGGACACGGAGAAGCAGCGTGAGGCCTATGCCATCGGGTACGAGCACTTGAGGTTCGTGCTGGTGCTCTACACGCTGCAGGTGAAGAACGACCGCACGTTCTTGCACGAGCACCCCTGGAGCGCGGACAGCTGGGGCCTGGACATTGTGAAGGACGTGATGGCTCTCCCCGGCGTCGAGGTCGGGCGAGGCGACCAGCGCGTGTTCGGCCTGGTGGTTGCGGACGCGCGCGGCGACAGGCTCGCCAAGAAGCCGACAGGATGGATGAGTAACAACAAGGAGGTGTTGGATGAGGTCTGCAAGCGCTGCCCCAACGATACCGGCGTTGGCAGCAAACACGAGCACTCCACCTTCGTCGGCCGGAACATGCGCGTGGCGGAGAGGTGCCCGGTTAAGCTCCTCCGTGCCATCCTCCGTGGCCTCCGCCGGCACCTTGGGAACAAGAAGGTGCTCACGCTTTCGGCCCTGGATGCTGGGCCGAACGTGGGCGACGAGGAGATCAGCCTGAAGGACTTCGTCGGGAGGTGGCGCGACGCGCTGAGGACCGAGTTCTACGACGACCTCGCCGGCCTACCGCTGCCCCACGCTGGTGAAAGTCGCGAGGCGCTTGGACATGGATTTCACGGCGCAGCTTGGCGCGTGGGTTTACGCGAGGGAGGAGGACTGCCAGCGCGAGCTTGGACGGAGGCCTCTCAGTGTGCGCTGGGTCGATATCGACAAGGGCGACACCGACCGGCCGGACTACAGATCCAGGCTCGTCGTGCAGGAGACTAAGGCGCAGAGCACCATCGCCCGGGACGACATCGGCGCGGTGTTCGCGGCGACCCCGCCGCTAGAGTGCCTTCGGCTCATCTGCAGCATGGTGATGTCGAGCGGCCCGTCCGAGGGCCGCGTGCTGTGCTTCCTGGACATCTCGCGGGCGCGCCCGCACTGACTAGGAAGGGCGGTCTACATCAAGCTTCCAGATGAGGATCCGATGTCGCAGGAGATCGGTACGCGTGGGCTCTTGCGGATGGCGCTCTACGGGGCGCGCGACGCTGGCCAGAACTTTGAGCTCGCGACCGCGGAGACGGTCATCGGTGCTGGCTGTGACCAGTCGGCCTTCTCACCTTGCGTGTACTGCCGCAAGGACCTGCAGGTGAGCTTCTTCCACCGCGGCGATGACTTCGTGCTCGAGGGCTCTCGGGGCGGGACGGAGTCGATCTGCGAGGCTCTGAAGACGAAGTTCATCGTGAAGGACAGGGGCGTGCTCGGGCCGGCGCCTACCGACGCGAAGGAGATCACGTGCCTCAACAGGGTGGTGCCCTGGCGAGACCGATCGAGCCAAGGGGGCGAGGCCATCGAGTGCGAGGCGGATCCCAGGCGCGCGCAGACCCTGCGCGCGCAGCTCGGACATGGACCCCCGCACTACGAAGTCATTGAGCACGCCAGGGCTGAGCCAGAAGCTGACGCCTGAGGTCGAGCGCGAGCTGAACGAGCACGAGGCGGCAGAGTACCGCAGCGCGTGCATGAGGCTGGGCTACTTGGCGCTCGACCGGCCAGAGGTGCAGTTCACGGCCAAGGAGTGCGCTCGCGGCATGCAGAAGCCGACAGAGCGACATTGAAGCGCGCTGGGCGCTTCTTGATCGGGGCGCCGCGGGCCATCTGGAAGTGGGGCCGACAGCGGGCGCCCGCGGTGATGGACATCCACTCGGACACTGACTGGGCAGGCTGCCCGATCACGCGGAGGAGCGCCAGTTCAGTTGTGATCAAGCATGGGCAGCACTTGATCGTGACGGCATCGACGACTCAGATCCCCATCTCCATGAGCTCGGGGGAGGCTGAGTTCAGCGGCTGTGTGCGAGCGGCCAGCAGGGCCATCGGCATGCAGTCGCTGTGCCAGGGCCTAGGCAGGGAAGTGAGCCTTCGCATCTGGAGCGACTCGGCGGCTGCTCTTGGCATCATGCAACGACGGGGCCGCGGCAAAGTCCGACACCTCGAGACGCCGACGCTGCGGGTGCAGAAGGCGCTCAAGGACGGACGGTTCCAACCGGCCAAGGTTCCAGGGAAGTCGAACCCGGCGGACCTGGGGACGAAGTTCCTCGACCAGGCGGCGATGCTCCGAGGGCTGAAGATGATGAATGTCGAGCTCTCGGACGCGCCTCTCTCGAGTGCCCTTCAGGCAAAGGTCTGAGCCAGAGGCATGAGCGGCCATTTTGGCCTGGCCATTTTGGCCTGCAGTCTTTCGCCCCGCGCTGTCATTGCCTTGGACGGGCTGCGGCCGTCAGCGCGGCTTTGGCGCGTGCTTTTGATTGCAGTGCTCGACTAACGCCGTGGTCCAGAGCGCTGTGTGCTGTCAATGAGTTTCGGAGTTTTGCAGGATTCAAGTATCGTGCCTGGCTGAGGAGCTGGGCGGCACGAAGGGGGCTGCAGGAATCCAGAGACCCCCAGCAGGTTTACTGTAAGAGAGTCTGTGCGTCGACGTTCGGGCTCAACTCATCAAGGCAAGCATCCGAAGAAGATATATCGCCAAGCAGCCATCGGGACAACCATCGGGACAACCATCGGGACAACCATCGGGTCAACCATCGGGACAACCATCGGGACAACCATCTATGTATTTCTATATATATATATATAAGTATGTATATATATAAATATATCTTTCTATATACCCATATATATATATATCTATATATGTAGACATGTATATATGTATTTATATCGCCATGCATATACATATTTATCTACCAACGTTTATATGTATATTTCTACGTATATTTACATACATATATTATGTATGTATGTCTATCTCTATCTAGATAGATACATATACCTATATATCTATATATCTGTAAATCTATCTCTCCTCTCTCTATATCTCTATCTATCTCTTTATCTATCTACCGATCTCTCCCCAGACACATGTATAGGTATCCAGCTATCTATCTATCAACCATCGGGGCAACCATCGGGACAACCATCGGGACAACCATCGGGACAACCATCGGGACAACCATCGGGTCAACCGTCGGGACAACCATCGGGACAACCATCTGGGCAACCACCGGGACAACCATCGGGACAACCACAACCATCGGGACAATCATCGCGGCAACCACCGGGACAACCATCGGGACAACCATAACCATCGGGACAACCGCCAGGACAACCGCCAGGACAACTGGGAGCCACGCCCGGCGCTCGGGTGGGGGGGGCGGCCCATTTGGCAATAGACGGCCCCTACCAGTGCAGGAACTCGCGCAGCTTCGCCTCGCTCGCACGCACGACACGAACCGACACCGAAACCGATTTCCCGGTTGGGGTCATCCCCGTTCCAACCCCCCAACCTCCGACAGGGGAGCATATGAATGACCATATGGAGGACCGTACGGGAAACCATATGGGAGGTCATGCGGGAAACCACACGGGAGACCATGCGGGAGACCACGTGGGAGAGCTTGCCGGAAGCCATTCGGGGGGCAATGCGGCATATCAGACGGGGAAGATCATGCGGGAGGCCATGCGGGAGACCATGCTGCAGACACTGCGGGAGGTCGTGCGGGAGAGCACGAAGCACCGAGCCAGGAGCCTTGTCTCCAAAACAGTTAGAAATAATATGGGGACGATTTTTGCACTATTTTAGATGAACGTTGCGGTAAAACGGATTTCAGAATTGTCCAGCATTGCAACCAACGACAAATATTGCATTGAGAGCTCTGACAAGGCACAACCGCATCGATGGAAACAATGGTTTTAAACCATTCCAGCCCCTTTGGGAGTTTTTTTGGTAGCCTCGCGAGGTCCTTTTTGAAATCTTGCGGCGCTCTTGGGTGCTCTTGGGGTGTTCTAGGGTGATTTCGGATCCCATGATGGGCTCCAAGGTCTTCTCAGGGAAACCCTGAAGAAATCTTTGGATGCCTTAAAGCGTGTTTGGGGTCTAAGCGCATCGTCTCTGCTCCAGCGGCGGCGCGAATGCAGCAGAGGTCTTGAAGGGCCTGCTCCCCGTCGTCACCACTGGGAGGGTCCACCATTTTATACCGAGTGCCTAAGTGAAGCGTTTCAATGTACGCAATGAGCTGACCATTTCTGCAGATGACGCCCCCAAGTTGCGCCATGTAGTCTCGCCCTGGCGGCGTTGTGCAACGCGCTGGCCTAGTCTGAGCAGTATTCTGAGCGAGACCATGCATTACCTTCAAAACGAACGGCTTAACCCTTCTGAGAAGGTTGGGGTCGCTTCCATATAGTGTGCTAAGCTCGAACCCGTTTAGCCTGAACGCTCAGGCCTCAACCAATTGGACTCAATCCTAGGTTTGCATTCGTAGTTTTGCATTCGCATAGGAAAAGTCCGTAAACAACGTACACACGTCCCCAATTTTGAAACTTGTTTACCCTACGAAGGCGCAGCTCAAATTTCGAGGCACTTCACATGTTTCCTTTAAGCACTTCGCACACAATGTCACTTTGAGGTCAAACGTCGTGTCCAATTTACATCGAAAGACCGTTTACTTAAACATGCACCACAGCATCTTTGCACCGAATCTGTCCGCCCGTCTCAAATCATGTTTATGTTTCGTGGGCCCGACGGCCCAGCCCGAGTTGTTTTTCCCCACATCCTAAGTGGGGTTCTTGTTTTCTCTGCACACCCTCCGCGCAGGATCTCTCGTCCTCCTCCCTCTCCTCTGCTCCTCTTTGCTTCCTCCTCCGCATCATCATCACCATCACCATCACTCCCCACTCATCATCATCATCATCACCATCAGCATCACCATCACCATCGCACGATCACTCACCATCATCGGCATCGAACGATCATCATCATCATCATCATCATCATCACGCTGACTCACCACTTCGTCCCCATCATCATCACCACCATTTACCATCAGAATCGCACGATCACTCACCATCAGCACTCATCATCACCACCATCATCATCATCACGTCGTCATCATCACCACCACCACCATCATCATCATCATCATCATCATCATCATCATCATCATCATCATCATCATCATCATCATCATCATCATCATCATCATCATCATCATCATCATCAATCATATATCATCATCAAACACCGTCGTCATCATCCCATCACCATCATCCACCAAGAGGGAGCCTCGTCTGTGAGTGAATTGTGAGGAAGTCTCAGGCGGGAGCCCCCTCCCTATGGGGCCCGCAGATCATGTTACTAATCCGAGCGGGTCATCGGATTCCTGTAACTGTCGTCACTTTTGGGCTCCTCAGGTCTGAATTTGGAGGAAGTATCAAGCGGGAGCCTCGTCTGTGAGTGAATTGCGAGGAAGTCTCAGGCGGGAGCCCCCTTCCTATGGGGCCCGCAGATCATGTTATTAATCCGAGCGGGTCATTGGATTCCTGTAACTGTCGTCACTTTTGGGCTCCTCAGGTCTGAATTTGGAGGAAGTATCAGGCGGGAACCTCGTCTGTGAGTGAATTGTGAGGAAGTCTCAGGCGGGAGCCCCCTCCCTATGGGGCCCACAGTCATGTTATTAATCCAAGCGGGTCATCGGATTCCTGTAACTGTCGTCACTTTTGGGCTCCTCAGGTTTGAATTTGGAGGAAGTATCAGGCGGGAGCCTCGTCTGTGAGTGAATTGTGAGGACGCGTCAGGCGGGAGCCCCCTCCCTATGGGGCCCGCAGATCATGTTATTAATCCGAGCGGGTCATCGGATTCCTGTAACTGTCGTCACTTTTGGGCTCCTCAGGTTTGAATTTGGAAGAAGTATCAAGCGGGACCCTCGTCTGTGAGTGAATTGTGAGGACGCGTCAGGCGGGAGCCCCCTCCCTATGGGGCCCGCAGATCATGTTACTAATCCGAGCGGGTCATCGGATTCCTGTAACTGTCGTCACTTTTGGGCTCTTCAGGTTTGAATTTAGAAGAAGTATCAAGTGGGACCCTCGTCTGTGAGTGAATTGTGAGGACGCGTCAGGCGGGAGCCCCCTCCCTATGGGGCCCGCAGATCATGTTATTAATCCGAGCGGGTCATCGGATTTCTGTAAATGTCGTCACTTTTGGGCTCCTCAGGTCTGAATTTGGAGGAAGTATCAAGCGGGAACCTCGTCTGTGAGTGAATTGTGAGGAAGTCTCAGGCGGGAGCCCCCTCCCTATGGGGCCCGCAGATCATGTTATTAATCCAAGCGGGTCATCGGATTCCTGTAACTGTCGTCACTTTTGGGCTCCTCAGGTTTGAATTTGGAGGAAGTATCAGGCGGGAGCCTCGTTTGTCAGTGAATTGCGAGCAAGTCTCAGGCGGGAGCCCCCTCCCTATGGGGCCCGCAGATCATGTTATTAATCCGAGCGGGTCATCGGATTCCTGTAACTGTCGTCACTTTTTGGGCTCCTCAGGTCTGAATTTGGAAGAAGTATCAAGCGGGACCCTCGTCTGTGAGTGAATTGTGAGGACGCGTCAGGCGGGAGCCTTCCTATGGGTCCCGCAGCTCACGTGGTTCCTCCGGGTCATCCTCCGGCGCGCGCTTCCTGTGGGTCGTCCTCCGGCGCGTATCGGCTGGGACGCACGTCGTGCGCTTCCTCTGGGTCGTGTTCCGCACGAGGACGAGGAGGAGGAGGATTGCCAGGAAAAGGAGGAGGGATGATGCAGGACGAGACAGGAAAGCAGGAAGAGGAAGAGGCTGAGGGGAGGAAGGACGAGGAGGAAAAGGAGGAGGAGGAATGCCCGAGGAGGCCCCAGTAGGTCCCGGAAGGCCCAGAAGGCTCCAGGAGGCCCCAAGAGGCCCCAGGAGGCCCCAGGAGGGGGCAGGAGGCCTAAGGAGGAGGCAGGAGGAGGAGGAGGAGGAGGAGGAGGAGGAGGGGGGGGAGGAGGGGGGAGGAATATGGAAACGAGGAGGAGGAGGAGGAGGAGGAGGAGGAGGAGGAGGAGGCGGATGAGGGAGAGGGAGAGGAGGAGGACAGGGGATGAGGAGGAGGAGGAGGAGGAGGAGAAGGGAGAGGGAGAGCAGGAGGAGGAGGCAGGAGGCAGGAGGGGCAGGGGGAATGGGGGGGAGGAAGCATAACGAGGGGGAGGGGGAGGAGGTGGAGGAGGCAAGAAGAGGAGGAAGAGGCAGGGGTTGAGGCAGGAGGAGGAGCAGACAGGAGGAGAACGAGGAGGCAAGAGTAGGTGGGAGAAGGGAAGGGGCAGGAGGATACCCCCATGCAAGCTAAAGAGATTC